GCATGCGTATTGGCATCATATTGTAAGCTGTTTGCTTTTCCTGCCCGCACACTTAAAGATAATCGACACTCGTGTCAAAAATTATTCAACATCTTGAACATTCAGTGCTAATGGCAGGCATGCCGGAAATCTCTCAAAACGTCCCCGCACACCTGAGAAACTTGCTTACGCCAACAGTCACGCGTGACGCTCAGCTCAGCTGATAGCTCTAGTGTGCGGCGGGTAGTGTATAAATAAAAGCCCACAAGAGTATTAAATTGCATAAATATTGCCATACAGCCATAGCTCTAGATCTTTTTTAATTAATGTAAATACTAGTAGTTTATATTATGAGCAAAATAAATAAAATTCTCAACATTTTAGGTTAAATGTTCCAGGGATTGTTTGCATAGTATGTTGATGAGGTATATCTCATTTAGTCAAGTTGCGTAAAACATTCATGAGGATTTAGGAGCAAGCCTTGTGTCTTGTGTTTACACTACAAACCTACACCTGTCCAAGCTGTTTACTGGGACTTACCTTGAGTAACCTGAGAATGATTTCAGGTAAAGCATTTGTGTGTATAAACATGTTTGATTGTTTAATCCCAAGACCAATTTCCATGGCAACATGGTAAATCATGTGTGTATATGTATGGTACATGTATGGGTGTATTTTTGTGTGTTTATACACCATACTTTGCCAGGCTGATTTTAGATTTTGCTAACTGTTGACAAATATTTTCAGTGAGACCATCAAATGTTTGCCACATATTTTTCAAATGTCATTGATTTTTAAATATCAATACCATCTGTACTGTAATCAGCCCAACAAATTGCAATGTGCAACCATGCCCTTAAATTGTCCAATTTGTTAGACTATGTCTGTAACTGGTATCAAATGCATTGTATGCAGCCAGAGGTAAATCCAGAGTATAACCCATTCCTTAGTGTAAACATAGTAGATTTTGGCAATCAAGGGCAATAGCCTTCATAGTTCAAAACTCAAAAGTAAGGTGAATCACAAACATCAACAGGTGAACCATGCCAGCCAGTTACAACAATAGAGCTCTAAAATTTATGTTTTTTTCTTCACCATATTTTGCATACTAAAAAGCACTCATGCATGTTAATTTATATTCCTTACATTGGCAAAATTTTAGAAACCTACAATCATTAAATATTTTCCAGTTAATTTTCTCCTCTGAGGTAAAATGTATCATCAGTACAAATAAATAGTAGTTTCAACATTCCATATTTATAAAATTCAATGTATTATTAAAATATCAAGAATATAAAGTTATAAACTTGGCCAGTTTCTTTGACTTTGACTTTGTTGTCAGAATACTTTTCTTTCGGACTGCAAAAAGGCAGTACATTTCATTATGTGCATCCAATACCAGACATATATTTTCAACCATTTGAAATAAACCATGACCAGGAGACTTTCTATTAAATTTCGAGAGGTCCTGAGGAAACTCGCCAGCTAAAATGATAAATATATAATACCGTTTTCGACTAAAAATAATTATTATCAACGCAGTGATCATTTGGACATAAAGTCTTTCCCAAATGTGACGCTCGATAGGCAGGCCTTTCAATTTCATTGAGTATAGTACAGCAATTTCCTCATTTGCATCGTCATGTCCGCCATGTTTGTTACAAATTCTGCCAGGAGCTTCGTTTCCTGCAACCCCCGCGCGCTTGAGCCACTGATCTATATAAAAACACTGTAGTGTGCCCATTTATAGCTCTGGGTACGAGGCTGGTTGCCGAGGGAATCACGCGTGTTGTGTTGCCTGTTTTGAATGCTGTTTGATTGTCTTATGATTGTGGTACGAACACTTTTCATATATACGCACGCGCAGAAACACATCTCCTTGTTCATTCGTTTTAGTCATGCGCATAAACGGAATTTTCTCCCACAATTGTAATGTTCAAGATTAGAGAATAAAAGCTGGCAAAGTGATTGTTCGAATGTGTACGGGACGCAGCGTTTCCATTTGGAAGGAACTTTCCTTCCAGAAGAAAATTTGAGCCTTTGGAAGGAAATTTGGAAGGAAATAGCATTTGGAAGGAAATTGGGAGGAAATATTGTTATAAGGAGGGAAAGGAGAAGGAAATCTATTTTATCTCATAATTTCTAAGAATAAGGCAATTTTCAATATCGTTGCCAGAGATTTGCCAGGCGGAAAACGAATTCGTATAATAAATATGAGAGCCCAACATATAACTTTTAACAAAGCCTTGCGTTTTAAAAGATTGTAAAGAATTTTAATTGTAACGTTTCGTCTTTAACTTAAGACATCTTCAGACTAGATAAAATTACACGAGATGTGAATATATATAAGCTAATTATAATCTATTTACAAGGTGTTATGTTACTAAGGATAATAAAGGATAAGAGGGTGTATATAAGACAGGACGATACAAATGAGGAAACAAAACAGACACAAGAAAACGGCAAATTACAGAAGGTTAAGCGGAATAGAGCTACCCTGGACGTTAAGAGTAGGTTTGAGTTTAGATATAAAAAGGCTTTCGTGAATCAATAATTCACAAGTGTCTGAGCAAGAGGAAAGAATTTTGAAGTCGTCAAAGTTGGCAGAGTGCCCTGTAGTATTTAAGTGAGAGAAAATACTAGACATGACTGGACTGGATGACGGCTGGCCTGTTATAGGAGTGAGTCCCAGGTGTTCCGATACTCTGGTGTGTAAATGGCGCATGGTTTGACCCACATACGACGCGGAACAGCATCGACACTTAAATAAGTATACAACACCAGATCTCAGGAACGTAGGAACTTTATCCTTGAAAGGAAAGAAAGAAGAGATGCGTTTAGAGGAGCGAAAGACAAATCGAATGTTGAGATGAGGATAAGCAGCATTGCAAAGTCGGTTGATTTGAGTGCGAATTTGAAGAGAGTGTGAACCTGTGAAGGGAAGGCAAAAATAGATAACCTTTTTAGGAACCGTGTGAATAGGAGGTTTGGGTTCGAAGATCTTGTTAAGGAAACGATGAACAAGACGGTCAAACATGTGGGAGGGGAAACCATTCAAGTTAAACAGTTTCCTGATAACTTCAAGCTGAGTATGAAAGTTTTCATAGCTAGAACAGAGGTTGAACATTCTGTAAAGTAGGCAAGAGATTAAAGAGCATTTGTATGCAAGAGGAATGAAGCTGTGGAAGTTAGTGAAAAGACCCGTGAAAGTTGGTTTACGATAAACAGAAGTGGAAAATTTACCGTTTGAGCGAGTTATATCGACATCGAGAAAAGGTAGTTTACCGTCTTTTTCCAGTTCGGATGTAAAAGAAATGTTTGGGTGTTGGCGGTTAAGATAGTTAAGAAAGAGAGGTACGTGGTCCAATGATCTAAAAAGAAGAAAACAGTCATCAACATAACGTCGATACAGAATAGGTTTGAAAATAGACGGACAGTTGTAAAGCCATGATTTCTCATGGAAAGACATAAATATATTGGCAAAGAGAGGGCCTAGAGGACTACCCATAGCCACGCCATCAATCTGTTGATAAATCCCACCATTAAAGATAAAGTGACAGTTTTTAACAGAAAGAGATAGAAGTTTAATGAACGTGAGCGATCAAAGCCTTCAAAATACATGCAGCTGGCAAAGATGTGATTAGCAACAATCTCAATTGTTTCATCAACAGGAATATTGGTAAACAATGAAGTAACGTCAAAGCTAGCCATAACCACACTATCTGAGTTGATGTCGCTGTTCAAGAGTTCTTGAA